CCACTCGGGCAATAGTAAACCATAAAGCTCAACTCAAAATATCATTTAGAAATCAAAAACGGAGTAAAGACGGCCGAGTTATGAATACAGTAGAATACATCATGACTAATTACAAATATGAAATTAAAACAGTGAGTAATAGTAGTAAAATCCCCTAAGGGTCCAAAAACAGTTGGCACGAGGCCCAAATATAGCATTCAGCCCAAAATATGATAATACTTTCCAAAACATAATGGTATCAAACAAGTTTTAATCAAATACGTGACTTAACAGTCATACGTGACGGATTAAGTCACAATCCCCAACGGTGCATGACCCCACACTCTTCATCTAGCATGTGCATCACCTCATAGTAGCACAACAATGTGAAATCCGGGGTTTCATACCCTCAGGATAGCATTTACAATCATTACTTACCTCTATTCGGTCCAAATTCTAGCCCGCTATTCCTTTGCCTCTTGACTCAGCCTCCGGATGCTCCAAATCTAACCAAAAACAGATTCATACCATCAAAATATGCTAAGAGAACAAAGCCCACTCGAAAATAACCAATTTACACCAAAAATCCCAAAATTGGTCAAACCCGAACCCCAGGTCCACGTCTCAAAACCCAACCAAACTCTCAAAATCCAATAACCCATTCAATTACGAGACTACCCATACTAGTTTCACTCAATTCTGACTTCGAATCGGCTTTCAAATCAAAAAAATTTATTTTATGAAGTTCCACAATTTTTCCCAAATTTTCATCCCAAATCTCTACTAAAATGATGATTCTAACATTATAATCATGTATTTTAGCCAAAATTGAGTTATAATCACTTACCCCGATAGTTTTCTTGAAAATCCCTCGAAAAATCGCCAAAGCCCGAGCTCTCTAGGTCAAAATATGAAATAAAATCCCAAATCTCGTATTTATAGTGCACCTCTCGGATTCCCGTCACCGCTGACCGCGCTAAAACCACCACTGACCGCAGTAAAACCACCGCAGACCGAGGAAAAACCATCGTTGTCGCGCTTCTGGTGTCTGTACAGACAGGCCTTAGTATCGTGGCCATAACTTTCCCTACAGATGTCCAAATTCTGATTTCTTTACCTTTTTGGAAACTAGATACGAAGGGCTACAACTTTTGTTTTTGAATCATCTCAAAATTCCTTGTAGATCAAAAGTCAGACCAATGAACCTGCGGATTCTCTCTTGGACCGCCCCAGTGGTAAAACCACCGCCCCCAACGGTAAATTTAAGTACCAGAACCATTGCCTAAGTTTCGGTAATGCCCGGACTCGCTCAAAACTCACCCGAAACACACCCGAGGCCTTCCGGACCTCAACCCAAATATACCAACACCTCTCATAACATCATTAAAACTTAGTCGAGTCTTCGAATCACTCAGAACAACACCAAAACACCAAATCAACTTTGGATTCAGGCTTAAGAACTTTGGAACTTTCAAATTCCACAAACGATGCCGAAACATATCAATTTAACTCCGAATGACCTGAAATTTTGCACACATATCACAAATGACACTACTGACCTACTCCAATTTCTGTAATTTCATTCTGACCCCAATATCAAGATTTCCACTACCAACCGGAAGGCGCCAAAATTCCAATTTCGCCAATTCAAGGCTAAATCTACCACGGGCCTCCAAATTACGTTCCGAACATGCTCCTAAGTCCTAAATCATCTAACGAAGCTATCCGAACTGTAAAACCAAATTCCGAGATCGTTTACTCACAAGTCAACTTCTGGTTAACTTTTCCAGCTAAATGTCCAACTTAAGAGTCTAAGTGTCTCATAACACTCCAAAACTACTCCCAAACCCAAACCAACCAACACGATACAGTGAAATGTAGCTGAACAACACATAAGAAAGTAGAAATGGGAGAAACGGAGCGGTAACTCATGAAACCACCGGCCGGGTCATTATAAGATATGTCACATATCATGCGATTCATCTATGGGAAAATGACACTGTATAGCTCTCTCAAAATAATAGCTGATATATATATATATATATATATATATATAT